ATAGACAACTGTAAGCAAATATTTGTACTTCTAAAATTTGCAGTGGAATATTTCTCTAGAAAACGAGTTTCCATTTTTCACAGCAATTCAAGCCTTCTACACTTAGTTCCTATTTTTCCACTGCCCCATTATTACCTAGAACCTTCAACGGAGCACAAACCTCAAAGTAACCTTCAATACTAAGATAGCTAGCTACGCATCACCCTGTAATGCATATACATCCTAATTTTAAGTTACAGGGCTTACTGCAGCAAAGTGAGCTGCTAAAGGTATGTGCTTTAAAATGAGTGGTGGTTAATTACTCATTTAAAGGCCTAAATAGCAGATTTTTTGAGGAAAAAATCATACATTTGTATTCTGGTAGTTCCAGCATTCTCTCAAGTTCTGATAGAAGATCATCAAGGGCTAATTGTCTGGAAACACAGTTGATTGAAATAGCTAGTCATCCTATAATCTGTTCTACATTAAATCTCCTCAGGGGGCTTGGAATCAGAATACCAGCATCCACACGAAACCCTCGCATTTTTAGCTAGAAGCGAGCACTCAAGCTCGCAGCAGAACAACAACAATCACAAGGAACATCCCGTGTGTTCTCAGCCACATAAGATCTCAATCAAAACAGCAGCAAACACTAAAAAGAGAGCGCCCAGCATGATATTTTCCAAGGGACGCATTTGTAGTCCTTATCCCACCGCCAGTAGATGACCAAAATCAAAGGAACAAAACTGTAATAGTAGAAAGAGGTTACCGACTTAAAAAGAAACAAAGCCTTTCGGATTGCTCCCACTCTCCCCCAACAAAAGGTGGCAGGCTTACCCGTAAGGAGCAGTAACTTATTGTTTTTCTGCTTACAGCAAACAAAGACCCCCCAAATAGCATAAAACAAGTGAGGAAGAACACTTGTACTTACCCTAACTTCAACAGACAATGAGAATTATAGTAATTTCAAGAATGTTCCAGGTGGGCAAATCACCCAAGGCTTTGCCACTAGGTATTTAGTTTTTTCACATTGCTGCTGGCTAATAGTACACTGCTACTCCCCTCAATGACTGGGGCAGAACAGCAATAATCTCATATTGCATCATTTCCAAAAGGAAGTGTGCTTTTGGTGACACTATCTTACAAGGGCAGAAGCAAAAAAAATATTTTGAATTGAAGCAATTCACACTTAAAGCTTCCTATCTCCAACTTCAGAAGCACAAAATCATAGTTGCTACTTGCATGTCAAATGCAAACAGAAATGACTAAGTCAATGGCATTTTTCTTCATAATAGAATAATTACTTGTAGAAGAGAGAGAAGCAAGCCTTAATGAAACACCAAGTGCTTTTAAAGAAGAAAAATACGTTAATCAAAACATGAACTTGATTTCCTTAAATTACGATGGGTACTCACTGTTCTAGCAAAATGGAGTACTAGAAACCACTTCTGGGAAACATTCTGTGAATACATATACACTAGAAAACCAATGAGTGATAAACCCTGAAATTTCAATTTTGTGACAGAAGTAATAACTAGATGGGCAGCATATGTTACAGAACTGAATCGTGAAAAGGTAGGGCAAAGTTCAAGAATTAAGTAAAAAAACAAGAACAGCAAAATTGACTAGAAATTAAGGTACACAGGAGACATCTAAAAAGTTAGGAGATTGCAAGTTTGCGGCGGGGGGGGAGGGGGTAGAAGACAATGTTGTTCCTTAAAAAAACCAGGGATACCCTTTTCCCTCTGCAAAGCTCCTAAGACAAAGCAGGAAACCGCTTCCACAATTTCCATTCTCAATTTCAAAGAGCAAAAACTTTGAACCTAAGATTTGGGGGGGTTTTTTGCTGTTGTCGTCGCACGTTGTCAAGCTACCCCAGCTCACAATTCGACCACAAAACCGCC